TCATGATTTAGTTGGCTACATCGAACTTACTCTACATGTTTTCAGATGTCTGAGGTTAATTTATGAATAGGTAATGAATATAATGGCAGCTGTTTCCTTACGTAAATAAACTTGCCTACGATCCTCTAATGTTGACTCGTTTTTAGGTATCTTCTGTTTACTAGTGTTTATATGTAGTATTTATATTATGATAGCTCTAATAAAGCTCGAGGCTAATTCAGCTTCCTTTTGCTCACTGGCTCTTCTTGCTCCTTCTCTCTTCTCCATAAATAGTTCCTACTTAGTTTTATACATTCGATCCTCTTATTCAGGATGTTGACTGTTTTTTTAAATTTCTATAAACCCCCAAATATTACCTTTTAACGTGAATTATCCGTAGCCAGTATAAAGGCCGTGTTTTGCACCACGCCCTAACTTTCAATCAATTAAAGTAAGTTTTGTCATTCCTTATAAAGAAGGCAGCGATAAGCAGCTGGTCATCTTTTCTCTCGGTTTAGTGTATTTTTTGCGTATTTCGAAAAGTATCGATTCTTGCTCTGATGATTTATGTCACAGTAGATATGACAGTTTTACACAGGTTCATCGCGGTCGCAGGACAGTCGGCCGAATACTTCTTCGCGCAGCCCTATAGTCTTCATTTCGCGGCAATCCTCTGGTTTCCGGTGAGGCTATTTCACGAATTACTTGCAACAAGTTTTTCCTTCGAAATAAAATATCATGTAACAATATCTTTGATCTTTCCGTGCCTATGACTATGTAGAGTCGCTGAAGTTCTTTTATCCCTAAATTAATTTCCATTTACGCCTCTATACTGTACGTTTGCTCGCAGTTTTTGTAACGGATACAGTAATCTCCCAACCACTCCATCATGCTGACTTTTTTATATTGTTTAGCTAAAGCTCTTAAGAATAATGTCATCCTTCTCACTATCTTACGAATGTTCCGTTTCTTTTACGACTGCAGCTTTATGGTTAGATTGTGGAATATTAGACATATTAATCTTTTTTTCATATCTCTCTTGTTTTTCTCTCATAAACTCCATTTTGTCTTCCACTTATCACAATCCGTAAATTTTTTTGGGGTATCCATTTTTTGGAGTTAGTTTGTCCATTCCATTTTCCAAGACTTTCATATCGCTTAGCCATAGCCTAATTATAATCATTCTCCCGTAAGTGTAATGTGACTTGAAATTTATGTTTATTCTTGAATGGAATTTCTTTTTGGATGCCTTTTTCTTAACCACGAATTGTCAACGAATGGTAACCGGTTTCTCTCCTCTACCTCCGTTGCCACTTTGCCTTTTATTTATAACTTTTTAGACAATTGAAAAGAAACGTTTGTATTTTTAGGTAGGCGACATTGTGGATGTAACAATCTTATCTCGCCGGCCTGAGGTGCACTCTGTCTTTACTTGTCGCTTCCTTATAAAGAATGGTCAACTCGGTGACAATGGCTTCCTAGTACTTGCCGATACACATTTTCTCATCCTGTGCGGCCTACGATCTGGTAACAAATTTGAGGCTAGTAGAATGCTAGCATCGCTCGGTGCCTTATTCACCTCTGCATTGGTCGCCAATGCGAGCAGTTGTGACGTCGGCCGATCCAATAACAAAACTTGTATAAGTCCACAGAAGACTGATCCCAGAAAGGCTTCTGCAGAAAGAAGTTATAGCAGCTGCTCCAGCTCGAACTTTGCAGACCCCTCGGCTAATATCACTCGAGCCATTGTAGTTCGATGCGTCCCACTACTGAACATCCGAAAAATTACCTCAAATAGTCGAATACCTGAGCTGATATCCTTTATCTACGTACCTGATTCTACCAATGATTTGGCAGAAACGCCCGCCTCGGAGACGCGTGATCGCGTCTACATAGAGGATTCAGGGTCAGCGGTAAAAGTGATCAAGGGGGCTGTATTTCATGCGAACGAGAGTCGTTTACAAAAACAGGTCTCTTCGAACTGCCCATAGTCTTCTTTTTGAAGATATTATATTAGCAATGTCAGATTCCACCGCCTTGTTGGCTGTGCTCTAACTTTTCTACTGTAATGTAGCTTTCATGCCTTTAATCGGTTTAACTTGCTTTTCATCCACAACATGCCCTGTAATCCATTCCATCTTGTCCACTTCTGCAAAGTTGTATTAACTTTCCCATGCATTTCACGTGCGCTATTTTTCACTTTTTTTGGGGCAAGTGGCCCACTTGTGATAACCCTCTATTATCTACACTGTGTGCACCTTGTATAGAGTAACCTCATGTTCAATAATTAAGTTAGACGAGAAATTGAGAGACTCGAATTCTACGTTCCAAACTTTGTTTTCTATTTATTTTTGCCTTTCCATTCTTCTTTGTCTTGCTTATTTGTTCACTTCATGATCATTTTTTAAGAAAGATATATTTGCACAAAATAAAAAATCATATTGGAGTCTAGATTTTACAAAATTAACTGCAATTAATTCATCACATCGTCAGCTTTCGACACCAGTTATGCTTTCATTATATTGTCTTGTTATCAGAGTCAATAAAGTCTGTTGATATTTCCTCTGATGATGACCTCTGAACAAACGATCAACTAGTCGGCTTCTAATTTGTCTTGTGTAGGCACTAGAGAAGAATTCGAATTTGTAGAATAATATATGCTCGGTTTTTTAAATACCTAGCATCACATCAAAGATATACTTAGTTACTACTATAACAATTAAACTTTGTGGATGAAACAAGAACACTTTTTATGGAGATACACAGTAACTGTCGTGCTTCACTGCTAAACTTGATAAGTCGCCCTGGTGCGAAAAGATATATATAGGAAATCAGACAAAGCAAGGTTCTTTAGCCTCTTTTCCCAGCATAGTACCGATGCTTAGTTTAGTATTCCAGCATATGCGAAGAAAGGTTTGGTTTCGAGCAATCTCAGGTGATAATTATTCAGCTTCCATCTCGAGTGAAAGTGTTTGGTGAGGAGATTCTAAGGTTGATAAGACCAGAAGGCGACGGTGGATTCTTCTTGACCATCTATTGGCTGGTTTGGCCGTAACATTATTTATGACATTGTTTCCAATGCAATCTCCTTCGATTCCTGTTAAAATGTGGTAAACTTTCGTCCGTCGTATGACGGACTTCATCAGAGCAGGGTATAATCCCGCACTCAGATTTTTATAGTAATATAAACATGTGTCGAGTAACGCATTATTGGTTGAACGACATTAGTATTCGGCAAGATACTCGTCCCATTGACCCCTTGCATAAATATGCTACCAAACTAAGACAAAAACTTGTAACTACCATTCGGCAGTCCCTACATTATAATACTGCCCAAAATATTCAAGCCTATGACATTTTTATAGAGTGAAAGCTTAGAAGAAACTCAATGCAATTTTGCTCTTATAAACAATCTTATTTAGCTAGCGAAGACGAATAGGCAGATGCATAACAGATATTATTTTGAGGCTTTTATTCATTGAGCATAGGTTTGCTTCGTCTATGATATAAAGACTAGGATGTTGTGGCCTTTTGTATGATCGCGGTCTCCTTTCGTTCTATAGAAGTTTGACCTTGCTTTCGCAACTTGGTCATATTGACAGAAAGACCTAGAGGAATGCGCCTTGTCCGGAGCCCATAGTATTCATGATCATTTCCAGAGTCGGACCATGGACTTGGTACGTTCCCAGACATATCGCCGGCATAGTCAGTGAGCCTTGCCATTCTTAGCACCACATTACAACTCGTCAAAGAGACAAGTGAAACCGATCCTTTGACCAAATGTGTGCTAAACAGTTCTGGTATATCTCCTGTCCTGGTCTATAAACCTATCCTATATCACCTTAAATATCAAAATTTTTACTTGTTATCTAATCTTATTTGAAATCTATTCACACTTTTTGCTGGTTTTCTTATCTCTCCCACTGTGCCGGGAGTGTTGATCCAAGGCTGCGGTTTAATCCATGTTAAGACAATGGAGTATCGAAGTGATCAACAATGTAAAGGCAGCAGTCTTTACAAGCTTGCCAACGCAACACGATAAGGTTGACAAATTGAATTGCTCGGGATTCTATAATATCAAATGCGGCAACTGTGAGGAGAAGTATATTGGTGAAACAGGAAGAAAAATCAGTCTACGAATCAAGGAACACCAAAGACTCTGCCGAAACATGGACACTGAAAAATACGAAATAGCAGAACACATCGCACGAACGGGACACGAAATCGAGTGGAAATCGACAGAAAGGCTGCCTGCATATGGTGAAAATACAAGAAAACGTAGGATATGAGAAGTCATTTATATCCTGACTGGAAGAAACCTTGAAGAAGGCAGGACTAGCGAAAACTTTGCGTATTGCCTAAAAATATATCCTTATCGCCTCTGACATGAGTCTATTTTACCTTTTTTTGGTTCTCATCCTATTCGTTGCCAGAGAAACGATAGTAAATCTCTCCATTGTACTTCATAAACAAGGTTGGAACAAGGTTTATCAGGAACCCGGGTTCGAACCGCTTTAAATTTAGGTAAAATGTATTCCACCCTAGATGGCATAATTTCTTGTGAGATAAGGCTAATAAGAGTTAAATGACATGACGAGGCGT